GATACAACATTATTCTTACTATCAACCAATCATATATTGTCACATAAGTAAAAATGTTTTATTTTAATAGGTCATATCACTACGTATTAATATTTTATTAATTGGTAATACTAAGTCATTAATAAAACATGAGCAAAAAAATATTTCTCTTTTTTTTTTTCGTCAACGAAAAGAAAAAGAAAATCTTAATTGGTTAATACTTAATAGGTTATGGAGGAAAAAGGGTCTCTTTTCCCTTTTATTTTTCTTTTAAAATAATCAAATCCATTATACTCCTTATACAAAAAAATTGCTCTTAACCAACTAATATGGTGGATACTCGTTGATTTGGTCTACCAATGACATGTCATCCTCGTTCATAAATAATTTATTTAACTTTATTTAATTTTTTATTACTCTCTTTATCACAATTTAAGTGTCATCATTGAAAAAATATCAATATCAGACTAGGTAAAAAAAAAAAAAAATACTCTTATACTCAATTATCTTAAAAAATATTATTATACACAATTAGTTATTACACTAATTTGAAGATTATTTTAATGGTAGATAACAAAAATATCTTCACTTTTGATCCTCATGTTTCGGCGGGTGTACCCTTCCCGCCCCCGCAGCCGTTTAAAAACTCCATTCTGGTTGAAAATCACAAAAACGGGGGGACTTTCTACCCCCATCCCTTTCCCCGTTTAACATCTTTTCCCCCACGGGTACCCATCCTGTCCCGTTTAAGATCATAAATTCTCCTCCATTTATTTTTTTTTATCAACTAAAATCATATAATTATTGAAAAGATTCATAAAAGAAATGGACAATAAATAGTTCAACATAAAATTCAATATTAAAACCATTCTAAATGGTCACACAAGTTACTTGTTCCATATTTTGTTACAAAACAAACTGTCTTAATATATATACAATATACTAATGAAATATATATACTAATGAAATAAGGGTACTAATGCAAAATATATATACTAATGAAATGAAGATATTTAAGTAATTTAGCTATCTAACCGGGGCGGGGCGACCTCCCTTGCACCAAACTCGCGTGGGTCTTCATTATATCGAACCATTCTCGCTTAAATAAGCTAAACGGTTCCCAAAAATCGCCAAAAACGAGACGGGCGGGGCAAATTGCCATCCCTACTCATGGACATGGGATATTGAGATATTAAACACTCCTCGGGCCTTACCAAAATTATAGTAGTAGAAAACCCAAAAGGATTGTTTGAGTGGTAAAGTCAGGTGGGCTTCGATTCTCGCTAGGAGCTTATCACAACTTGGGGTTACGTTTTCGTTATCATGCTTAGCGACTTACTCTGTTCGGGGTGGGGAGACATCCTTTCTGGATCCTCAGGGATTAGTCAGGACTTGCGGCGAAGTCTTGGATACCCTGGCTTATCCAAAAATTAATTAAAAAAATTAATTGTGATTTTCAGGTTTCTATTTTAATAATTTTTCAGAAAAATAACAAGTATTCTTATATTTATTTATTTATTTTTCTCCTAATTCTTTTTTTTTTTTAAACACCTCCTTTATTTTAAAACAAATCATAGTCAACTGAGGTGACGTGTGCCAATATGGCATTAGAAGGGACATGTTCAAGGCATGCTATTGGCTGCTTCCTAAATGCTAACCTGGACGACACCTCATTCGCGGTCAAACTTTTCATTCACTGACCCCACAACTGCCCACGTGGCGCTACTATCTTCCACCCATGGTCCATGTGGAGATCGACTTACCCATTCGGTATATTATTCATTCAGCATGAAACTTAATTTTTGTGTTTTACACGGGGTACGTAATTGCTTTGGCCACTTAATTTTGTTCTAGTTCCAGATAACTGCTGCTTTGGCAGCTAAGATTATTTTATTTCTGGTGCGACCTATTCCTTTCCCTTCGTGAAAGGGACAATTATCCTTTCGTTGATCTTTTATTTGCACACCACATTTTCGTCCACACTCATTAATATCTCACCTTAAAAGATTTAACTACTGGGATATATATATATATTTCCGCCCAATTAAAAAATAATATTATAGTCAAATAATCCTAACATTCCTAACTTTTTCCCAAACTATTTTTGAATTTTCTTTCAAGTCATTGGTAAGCTTCAAATTTTAATAAAACCGTTTTTTTTTTTTTTTTTTTTTTTTTTTGGGGAATATAAACCTTATGCTCTACATCAATGTGTTTTTAACTTATTAGTGTTGTAATGATGGCATAATATGTAAAATGAGATGACGTCCAACGAATATATATATATCAATACTGATAAGAAATTCATGCACCACATTTATACACTCACTTTATTTATTTGGAGACTCGAACTCTTACTATTTACTTTAAGTGGGAGGTAGATGAGATATCACTGGACCACAAGGCCCTTAACAAACATATTGAAAACTTTAATGTTGCGTTTGGTATGCAGGAATGGAATGCTCATTCTAACCATTCCTTTATTTGATATACAATTTAAAGTGAGAATGGTCATTCAATTGGAATGAAAATCCATTCCATAGATTTAGCTATGGAATGGCCATTCCATTCCCAAGTAAATTTTTTTAAAAAATCAACTTTATAAAAAACGTTTATGTTCTTAGTCTAAAAACTATCACTACCTTCCATCACAACCACCACCGCCACCGACTTTCACCACTGCCTACCATTTTCCACCACTACCGCCATAGCCTTTCACCACGCCACCACCGCCTTCACGATCATTACCGCCATCGCCTTTCACCACGCCACCACTCCCTTCACCACTGCTACCTTCCACCACATTCTGCACCGTTTTCACCGCTACCACCTTCCATTACCACCACGACCTCCTTTCACTGCCATCGCCACTACCATCATCGCCTTCCACCACCACCACCATCGTTATCGCCTTCTACTACCACCGCCGCTTTTCACCATCACTGTCTTTTATTAATTCCACCACCACCACTGTTATCGCCTTCCACCACCGCCACCGCCTTTCACCACCACCACAGCCACCGCCTTTCATGCACCACCACTGTTGACGCCTTCCACCACCGCCACTGCCTTCCACCACCACCACCACCACCTTCCACCACCGCCACCTCCAATACCTTCCAACACCACCACATTCACCTCAATTGGCTTTCACCACCGTTACCTACACCACTATCTACTCTCACCACCACCACCACCACCACCACACTACTGCCACCGTCTTCCAACAACACCACTGCTGCCTTCCACTATTGTTACCGCCGCCGCTTTCCAACACCATCACCTCCAGGGACGGACCCAGCAGAGGACTAGGGGGGGCAGATGCCCCCCTGAATTTTTAATACTTTCATTTTATACCCTAATGTTTTTAAAATTTATGAAAATGCCCCCCCTAAAATTACAATTCGCCCCCACTGGATTCTTTTTTTTTTAGCATTTTATACTTTAAATTTTGATAATTTATGAAGATGCCCCCACTATAATTATAATTTGCCCCACTGATTTTTTTTTTTTTCATTTTATACTTAATTTTTTTTTAAATTTATGAAAAAAACCCTATTAAAATTACAAAAATGAACTCATCATATAATTTTGTACCCACAAATTAAAAATTCGCCCCCCCTCACCAAATTTTCTGGATCCGTCACTGACCTCCACCACCATTATCGCTACTTCCACCACCAACACCACAGTCGCCTTCCATTAACACCGCCGCCGCCTTCCACCATTGTCACCACCACCGCCTTGCAACACCACTACCTACATCACCTCCATCACCATCATCACTATCATCCACCACCGCCACTGTCACCATTTATTTTAAAAAAAATTATAAAAGAATGTCATTAAATTAATTTAATTTATTTGTTACTAAGAGGGATATTTTTGAGAACTTAAATTGAAATTTATTCCATTCTAAATTTTAAATTGATCCAACCAAACACTAGAATGGTAATTATAATTTCATTCCTACACATTTCATATTTACAACCAAACAATAGAAGGTCATTCCATTCCATTTCATTTCTCATTCCATTCCTGCACACCAAACATAGCATAAGTTTAATTGTTTGTCAAAACAAAAGTAGTAATTTTTTTTTAATGTAAAATCTTATTTGGGTTTGGAAAATGATATTTAAAAGTACCCGTCTATAAGGTGGCCACAATCACTCCCTTAGGAGCTCATACTTCCAATTTGTAATGGCCAATTTCACTACATGATATGATATTGTCCGTTTTAGATCTAATTCCGCATGATTTTATTCTTGAATTTTATTCCAAAAGGCTTCGTATTATTTGGAGATAGCACCACAAATATATATATATATATATATATATATATATATATATATATATATATATATTTTTTTTTTTTTTCACGTCCAGATAATGTAGAATTATGCACTCGTAGCCTACCCTCGCACCTGGCCAAAAGATCGCTACATTATATTTATCACTTAAAATATATTTAAGATATAAAATTACTTCTACTTGGTTTTTTTGAATTGTGATATCAGCATCATTGTTCTTTATATATATATTAAATTAACATGGATATTTGAGGTTTTATTTAGACTAATCTATAAGAATTCGTGAAGAGTGTCTCCCCGTATAAGTCAAAAAGTATGAACCATAGAGGCCTGACTTCAAAAATATTGTTTTGTACTCGGTGATAGTCGGCGCTATGGTGAAGTGACTTTTACATTTACACGCAACATTTGACCACTTGTTCTTTAATACATGGAAACTTTAACGATAACTTAAGTACAGCCAAAAATAAAAACTATAAATATATAAAGAAAGAAAAGAATAAGCCCTTCGAGTAATTTATGGTAGGGATATGATGGGCCCATGGATCACCTCACTGTCCCTACATCAGCGGTGGAAAGTCAATTCCCAGCCGACGTAAAAATCACGTATATAGAATGGTCTAAGTAAAAAATGAGCTGGAAATAGCCTTTCTTTCTTAAATATTCCCTTCCCGTTGCAAAAATAAAGGGATTTACATATTCACAAATCCTTTATAAGACGGCAATTACCCACCCAAGTTGTGACGCTCTCAGCTTTTCCTCTCCAGAACAAGCAGCCTTTGTGTATACACTAAGAAAACCCTAGCTATAGTACCCTCTTCTTGATCACACCTCAAATATATATATATATATATATATATATATTAGATCCTATATATATACCCACACCCACCTCTCAAACCAAACCCTCTCAATCTACGCTTCTTCATCATAAAGTGTATGTGTGAATACCATTTATCATGAGCAACATTCCAAGATCTCTTACAGACTCATCTCTGTCCATCTTCAAACTCGCCACCTCTTCATCTGACCCTTGGCCTTTCTCTTTTGTTTTCTTGTAGCCCTCAAATTCACAGAAATTAGATCTAGGATCTTTATTTATTTATTTTTCGTTAATTTTGAGATGGGTACTGGAGATCATCACAAAAATCTCCTGAATTTTCTTCATCATCACCATCACCATCACCATCACGGGAAGAACTCGAAGGAGATGAGAGATATCCCAAAAGGGTGTGTGGCCATCATGGTGGGTCAAGGTGAGGAGCAAGAGAGGTTCATCATCCCTGTCATCTACATCAATCACCCACTCTTCATGCAGTTGTTGAAAGAAGCAGAGGAAGAGTATGGATTTGATCAGAAAGGTCCGATCAACATTCCGTGCCACGTGGAGGAGTTTCGCTACGTTCAGGGTATGATTGATAAGGAAAAGTCTCATCACCACCACCACCACCACCATGTTTTGTGCTTCAGGGTTTGAAAGAATATTGATCATATTGTTTAATCTTGTTCTTGTAAATTTCTAGTGCGTGTCTGTGTGTGTGTTTAGTTTATTTTATTTTATTTTATTTTATTTTGTTTTGCTTTTTGTTTGTTGAGTATACCCAAATTGACGTACGAGATGAAGATGGAAAGTTCAATGACAGTAATATAAATGATTTTTGGTGTATTTGTTAGGAAACAAAAGATAAGAAATGTATATTTATTAATTGTATTGTTTTGTTTTGTTATATATGTGTTGTCCAAATTGGTTATAAATGGGAATACATTGTGGTTGTTGTAGAAAGAGACACAAATAGGGGATTATTACGAAAATATAACAAATATTTATGTTACACACTTTGTTAACTTTTCAAGTAATTGGTTGTCTAACATTTTGAAAGAGCAAATGACCTCTCACAATTATAAAAATGATAAAACCCCTGGTGAATTCATATACATATATACATATGCATACATATATATGTATATGTGTATGCATATATATATACACACATACATACGTGTATATATATATATATATATGATTTGGGAAGTTGACTTTGAAGTTGTAAATGAAGATTAAACAACTAGCCACATTGGCTGGGGCAGGCTAACCATTTTATTCCAAGAAAGTGGGGAATTTTAATTGAGCCCCATTCTTTAATATCAATTTGGCAATCACAAAATTAATAATATTTGACTTTGAAACTTTCTCTCTCCATTCATTCCACATAATGTTAACTTGTGGGAGGGAGGAGCCTTTATGTTGAAGGGACTGCACAGAGTAGGTAATGGTGGTCACCTCTAATACTCCTAATTATTATACTAACTTGATTCGAAAATTAAAGTTCTTCCTTATCATAATGGATTTTTTTTGAGGAAAATAAAAAAAGGTCCACATCTATGGAATAAAGGCGAAAGAAAAAACAAAATTCGGAGTCAGATCAAAGTTCAATATATTCTTCAAAATCATAAAGTACAAACAAACAATGATAAATGTTACTTCTATTCCGAGATTAACATTTATTGGATTTTTGACATAATTATTTTGCAGTTCTTTTGGTCAAGCACTTGTCAACAGTACAAGTTGCCAACAATTTATGGAGAGGGAAGTGGTTCATCATAAGAAATTTTTTGTAATTTTAAAACTTTTATAATAGCCCTGTTTTCTTACTTATTTGGAGGAATAAAAATGTGTGAAGAAGTAATGATAACTTATTCATCCTTTTTTCTCTTCTCACATTTTTTACTTTTTATCAAATGAATGAAATTTATTTATTCCATTCTATCTTCCTTTTATACCCCCTCATTTCTTTTTTCGTACCAAATGGAGGGTAAAGATTATTTTCAAGTTTAAATATAAATCCAATATTTGACTTTAAGATCCACTTGTAAAGGGTTGAGTTGTGGAGTTTTTTACTTTCTTGATCTCTCATTTAGACAAAAAGGTGCTTACCTGGTATGATTGTGTTAGATTTAAGTCTTTGAAATCACAATCAAAGCTTCTCTTATCCAGTAATCCTCATAGATAAATTCCAAGTTACTTGTAATTTCTATAATAGGCATCCATCGTTAGCGGGTCAATTCATCTAGATTCATTATTTCATAATCATGAAAAATGGCAATTTTAACGTTGTATGAATAGATATACGTATGCGCGCACACATATATATATAAGAAATAGAAAATTACTTGTCATATTGTAAAAACTATTCTATTGTCCTATATTGTATGGGAGAGAGGTTTGATGACGCTTTTACGTGTGAACACATCTTTAATTATATAAACGCGTTTTAAAAATTATAAATATTGAGAGGAGTGTATAAAGCAAATATTATCTAGATGAGATCATTATAAATGTTATTAGAATCGAAAATGGAGGGAGTGTGTAGAAGTCCATGATGGTTCGCTGGCTCATCTAGCGAGGACGGGTCCAAGAGGTTTTTTGCACCAGAATTCAAACAAATCTTACAATCATATTTTGGAAGGTGAAAGAAAAGTAGGAAAGACAAACCATAAATTACTAGACAGTGCTCTGTTTTGTTTGCTGATAAAGAGAGAAAAAACAGAACTAATTAAGACCTAGAAATCCAACAAAGCATAAACCAAGCTCAAGGGAAGCAAAAATAAATAGAATTTGATTAGTTGACACATCCAAACTGTTGCAGGATTTGACACCTTGATGTGAACAGAATTTTTTTGTAACCTGACAAGAAAATCACCATGTGTTATACGACATCTATAAAAGAAAGAACAAGGATCATACACCAAGAAATACATACACAAACAAATTCAAAGCAAAACTAAGACCCACGTAGATCAAGATCACAGCCTTGACAACAATCAAGAAGACGTCAGAGCCAAGGACTAGGCCCACCAGCAATGAAAAAAATCTCGAAACAATTGGACCCAAACGTCATCCATGACGTCAGTGGTGAACCCACTGAAAAAACCACCGAAGTACCACTGGAGAGAGGGCCAAATACATCAGCGTAAGTACTAGAGACGGTAGACGTTGACAAAGGATGCAAATGCATCAGATGCACTCCCATCGCAAAACTTCAAAAAACTCCACAAAATAGCATACAAACAAACCCAACTCCGGCAACCCAGCAACCATCTATCCTCGGAAACGGCGCAAATTAGGAGATCGGGAACACAAACTCACGATGAAACGCGAGAGACGCTGTTCACCGCGAAATCTCGATCACAACAAGGAAAAATAACAAAAAACGACGTGAAACCACCCACCGAGCAAACTATTTACATCACGCCGAGATTATTAGTCAATTTAATAGAATGTAAACTGTTGCGAACAATAGATACGGATTGCAAAATGCAAACTAACATAATAAAATCTGAGAAATAATCAATTGCTGCTCATTTGTCTGCTATTAACAGAATTAAAATATAAGAAATTCAAGTTACTCTGATGTTTGTGTTGACAAGTCAAGTTTTTCTTCTTCCCACTAAAAGACGGTTGTGTTGGGTATCTTAGAACACAGATTAATGCTGCTACTATTCTCTCGAGTAGTTGTCAAAGACTAATCTATTCCGGACATCCCTGGAACTCAACATCAAGATCCTTAAGCTTCAGAATCAGCAAATACTTTGATTCTCTCAAAAGACAGCTCATTTTTTCATTTTATGTTGACTTCTGTCAAGTGTATGATTAATTTGTATGCTTTTCCACGAGCTGTTATACCAATATGTATTGCTAGTCTGAATTGCTTTTCAGATAAATGGAATATGGACTCAAAATTTTCAAAAGAGATGGCATTTCAAATCTGACCTAAATGAACATTAAGCTTTACAAATTCACTTTTACACCTTTTATCTTCGGCAACCAAACAGAGTGTAACGGATAGAGAAAAACATTTCCAGGTAGGATTGATTAGGAAAAATCTCAGCATCACCACAAGTCCACAACCACAACCACAACCACAACCACCACTGTGTGTGGTATGTGTGTGTTTTGTTTATTTCTTTTTTCGTTTTTTTTTTTTTGGTTTTGTTTTCTCCTCTCTAAGCACCAAATTGGTAGTCTAACATACAAGTGTACTTAAATTATTCTTTATTTTTATTTTAAAACTTAATATATATGCAGTGAGCAGTAAACAGTTAGCAAAACATTTGACTTTTGAAAATTTCCCTCTCTTGATGCACATAATATAAAGGTGAAGTTGTTACACCGTCAATCTCATGACTTTAAATTAGTACATTTTGAGTATAAAAAATATCGAACAGGTTATATCATCACTTTTAGGGAAGTGGTCACCATTATCACACTAATCTCTCACAAAGAGGTGTTTTGATTGTGTGGTTTTTAAGTACTTGAAATCTCAACATGATGTATTATATATGTATAATATATATATAGGAAATAGAAAATCCATGTTGACTATGAAAGCTATGGACCTATGGTTCTTAATCCAACAGCTTACGGATAACGTTTTTGAATGTTTAATAGATAAAATTTATGGGTTGAAATAAATCTTGTACGACTACAACTCTCCAGAGTTTACAAAATAGCTCTTTGCTATCTTTCTTTGAATAGTCAACACCTCCATATCTAATCACGCTTCAAAATTTTAAGACAAGTTGCAACTATCCTCACAAATCCAAATTAGTAAAGAATGCAATGCTAAATGGTTGGAATTCTAGACCGAAAAAAAAAAAAAAAAAATCCATTGGCTCCATGTCCGTGTAAATGAAAAAATTCAGCATACATTCAAAAAACTGCATCATTTGCTTAACAACATTATTATTTGGATAGGAAAACATCAAATGTTTTTAGAATACATCAAAAATTCATTTAAGCAAAGTTATACTAAAGAGTTGTGATGCAAAGTCTGAAAATCATATTGGATTATATTTATTTGAATGACTAATAATGTTGTAAAATGTAATAATGGTATCATCTTTTATTCGTCATATCTAAAAACAAAAATAAAAAGATACCAATGAGAACTTTATTAAGAATGTAGTCCAAGCCCAAATTAATTGATCCAAGTCCAAGTTAGCCCCAAAGATAAGCCCATTTAAGGGAATCCAGCGGACTGTGGTTGTTTCACAAAAATATCCAGTACCAGCAGACGCAGAGAGAAGTATTTTCATTGTACATTCGATGCGCATGCTACACCCTCCACTCGACGCGTGGCGGAGCAATACCTCATCTAGGATGCGCCCCCTATAAATGGCGGGAGCCATCCCCTGTATCGAATTTTCTCTCCCCAAAATTACCCAATCATCTCTCTACATATACATATATATATTTGTGTGTATGTTCCTCTGGCATAAACGTCTTGGTTTTACTCTCTAACCCCTTTAAAACCCTTTAATCGCAAAACCCTCTAAATCTGAAGACTCAAATCCACAACACAAAGGTAAAACATTTCACCCATTTGATTTCTCTTTCCCTTTTCGTTTCATTCGATTCTCGGAATAGGGTTCTAATATTTTCTTTTTTTTTAGGGTTTATTTTTGTAAAGAATTAGGTTTATGCGTTAGAGGGAGAAACTAAGAAGTGTCATAAACTTCTGATTCGATGGAGGCCGCGTCCGGTGTTGCCGCCGCCGCCGCACGCGGCGTTTCTTTGCCGATGCCTTCCCGCAAAGAGTGGCGTGCTGTCTCCGAACATTCGGCTCGGAACGCTGGTAACGAGGTACTGGAGCTACTGCTTTGCTGAATGTGTTGGCATTGCTTTTGCTTCGATCGAAAGTTACTTTTTACAAAAAAAAAAAATTTATTTTTTTGAATCTTAAATGTGAAACTTGTGTCATTTAGGAGTTGGAGCGTTCAAATTTAGGGCAATCTGATGAGAGAACCATATATGAGGTAATGGATGTGTTTTGAAGAACTAGGGTTTTGTAATCTGAAATACTGAATGAGTGAAAATGATGGTGATTTGGTGTTCGTTAAGGTGCAGCAGGGAGGAGAGCCGGTCGATGTGGACTTCTGTTCGATTAATATCAACGGAACTTTAGATGATGATATGCTGCAGCAGCGCCTTCACAGTGTGGCGAGTCAACGGGAGGAACTGCAACAGATGGAGATTGAGCTCCATGCTCAGCTTATTGCGAGATCAGATATCATGGAGATGCAGAATAGCTTTGACTTGCAGCTTAAAGAGCATGCGAATGCCAATATTAAGCTTCAGGTTTGCATATCCAGTGCTTAACTATATATACACATATATTTAGGTTCATCTAGTAAACTCATACATGGTACTAAATATGAGTTTATTTGGCTGTGAAGGAGCAAATGCATGAAAGGGAACATACTTTACATGAGTTGGAAAGGAAGATGGAAGAGACAGAAAGAGAACTACATGCTATCAAATTAGACAATGAAGCGGTTTGTTGAGCATTTCTTTCTTGTCTTTATTTCTTATTGTGGTATTCCAGAATGTGCTGTTTGTGATTCAATTATTGAATACAATCCTCCTTATATACCTTGGCAGGCATGGGCTAAGGAAGATCTCCTGAGAGAACAAAACAAAGAACTGGCAACCTTCCGGTATGTGTCTGCCCGTTTAAAGATATTAATTTGTGTTAATGTATGATCATCTTTGAATTGATTATATTTTTACAACTAGGATATTTAATTGGGTTACAACCAGTTTACCCCTTATGACGAACCATGCCTTCTTGCCTCCTCCTTTCTGTCCAATAAAAAACCAAGATCATGATTGCGGTGCTTTGCTCTTTATTATCAATTTGGTACATTTGCATTTATCAAGGTTCTTTGATGTCCGGGCATTCTGGATGATCTAAATGGGATATCTTTTTGCAGGAGGGAGCGTGATAATTCTGAAGCTGAAAGAGGCCAACATCTCAAGCAGATTCACGATCTTCAAGAACATATTCAAGAAAAAGAGAGGCAGTTCATGGAGTTGCAGGAACAGGTCTGTCAATTTACTTGTGTAATTCTAATTAATGAAAGCTCAACCGACAAAGGCTCTGAAGCACATTTAGTTGATCTTTTATATTTGGTGAATAGTTAAAAGAAAACTATGTATTGTCTGGGAAAATGATGTATTGCTTTAAATATTGAATTTGGGATACTTGGTTTTCCTGATCACCTAATTGGTTTTTGTAATGTCAAATACTGTCTTTTAAGTTATTTTTCCAACAAAACTTTCCATTTTAGGGATTAGTTAGTAAAGCTATTATACTTTTGGTGTGTTGTTTGGCTCGTATATTGCCTAATAATGATTTCATCTTTCAGCATAGGACTGCCCAGGAAACCATTCTTTTGAAAGATGAACAGTTAACGGAGGCTCAAGCTTGGATTAGGCGTGTTCAGGAAATGGATGCCTTCCAGTCGACTACAAATCACTCGTTACATGCTGAACTGCGAGAACGTACAGAACAATATAACCAGCTCTGGCTTGGTTGTCAGAGACAGGTTGTTAAGCTGCAGAGTTGTTTTAAACTTGACCGTGTTTTATTTGGTTAATCGTGCATTCTTAGCTTGTCAATGAAGGAAAGCTTCACTATTCGCTGTTGAGTGTAGTTTACTATCTGCTTGACGGCCAGATTGCAACTTAACTCCTTAATTTCTTGTCGTTTTGTATGTTGAGTGAAAAATATATACTAGGTAGATTGATTTTTGAGTTTTCTATGCTAGTTTGCTGAGATGGAGAGGGTTTATATGCATACAATACAACAGCTCCAGCTTGAACTGGCCAATGTAAAAGAAAGGGGTGGTAATTATTCTGATGATTCAAGTGGAGCCAATTCGAAGGAAGTTTCTCAATTTGGGCAGAATAATGGAAGCCAACCGGATGGGAATGGAAGTGGCACACCAAGTGAAAATTCAGGGGTCTTTCCAAATGGGAACTCTGAAAATGTTTCATCTTTTGTTTCAGCTGGCAATGCATCAACCCAGGTAGAGTTTGCTTTATTAATTTTCATTTTTGCTCTTTCCCAAATTTTTCGTGCTAAAACTGAACTGCAAGTTGCAGAAAACATATTCTGTAGTTGAAATTTCTCAAGAGATGGTTATTGAAAGATAGAGATGCAAATGGAACATTATTCTTGAGCAAATGGAACATTATTCTTGACTTGTGACGTAGTTCAAGTTCAATGCCAACGTTTTAATTGGTTTGATTGTTATGCAGCTCCTTCCATTCAGTAATATTTTCTGTCAATTCTTTGACACTTATCATGTGACGAACAATTTCACAGTTTAAGTTTGTTTTTCATGTTATCTATTTACTCCTGCTTTGGTACTGAAAAGGATTTCCGGGTTCCTTTTTAACGAGTTCATTCTTAAAAGAATCACATCCTTTGTTGCTTAAGTTCTAACATTTTTCACAGGTGCTGAACATAGATCCCTAGTTTATGTAGTTTGCCACGCAATCACATTTAGTGGGTGTTTGGGATTACTTCTCTACTATTCAAAAGCACTTTCATTACAAAAAATTGCGGTCCATTGTGTTTGGTGGAAAAAAAAAAAAAAACGCTTATAGGTGGTAGAGGTTAGGTCAAAAAAGCGCGTTTAAGTGAAGTTAGGAATTGTAGCTTTTAAAACTGCGTTAGAGATAGATGTTTATCTTTTTAGGTAACCAATTTTTTTTAGACAATGTAATCCCTTTATATTTTTTATAAATGCAAATTTGTCCTGCTAGAAATAAATATCAGACAATATCCTAGTTATTCTGGGATTCTGTAATTCTAGAACTCTCCAACCACCTTCCATTTATATTTTAGTACTATATACAAATTCTATATCATAAACAAAATATGTGATATTTAAAAAAAAAAAAAAAAAACGACACAAGTTGATATTTATAAATTATTGAACTCAATGAAATTTTATAATATTTAATATTAGGGAATTAACAAAATTTTAGTATAAGGGTAATATAGTAAAATTAGTAATAAAAATGCTTTAAGCAGCGTTATTACTAAACAAATTTAAAAGTGTTTCAAGTATAAAAAATGCTTTATACAATGTGTCACCAAACGCATAACTGCGTTTTACTGACGGCAAATTTATAACAGTTCTACTAATAAAAGCGCTTTCAACATTCTAACAGCAATCCCAAACGGGCTCTTAACGACAATAAGATCATGATGTTCCATATGGAGTCTACAAGGCAAAAACATTTAATATCTGGGTCTGGTTTCCACATTTGAGGAATTTTTTTTTTTTTTTCTTGACACTGTGTATCAGTATTTTAGATTGAGTGATATTGAATATCATAGAGGTTAACTGTGTAATTAAACCACTGGGTAGTTCGGTGTTGCAATATTTTGCATAGAAAAAAATGAGTACATTATGGACGCGATTGAATACCCAAATTAAATTTCCTCCCTATATTTCTTTCATAATTTTACGCTAACACATTTTAAGTTCACGACAATCCATATAGTTGGATGCTATATGTTTATTGTGGGGAGTTGCCAAGTTTGTCATTCTACAATGTGTTGAAACATGACACTAAGGGCATAGTTACAAATTCTCACTCTCAAGGGGCAGTGCCCATCATAATTTTTATTCTTGTACTGTTATTTGTGTATCTGGGACAGAGACCTTTTCTAATGATAATGAAGTCTCTATCTAATTTACCTATGAAGGAGTGAATTAAATAGTTTTTTTATTGTGCCCATAACCTGATTTTTCTTTCTTCATTGGTAGGCTGACCATGTTCCTGGGGTTCCAATTGCTCCTTCGTCCCTACTTGGGATGCCGCCTACCTACCTTCCACCTGGTCAGATGACTGCTCTGCATCCATTGGTTATGCATCAACAGGGGGTTTCCCACTCTGTACCGTCACACGTTAGTCAATCTCATATTGGCCATTTTCACACAGTACCAGTCATTTCATCCCATCAAAATTGGCAGAATGAACAGGTACACGCAACTATTTCTCCTCTGCATTATCAAAGTTAATCATGGATTTGTAGTTAGATTTCTCTTTCTTCTTTTATCTTCAGACTGTATCAGAAGGTTCGCAGATGCCAACTCACAACCAATATCCTACACCTCAAATTGAACAGAACTTGTTGAGATCAGATACTAATTATGACTGTGAAGTGTCCGCAAATGGGCAAGTTCTTCATCCAGACTATTTGGGTGTCCATGTCGGTCAAGGTGTGGAGCCTGAGTCTGTGATCCCATCATCTGCTGAGGAAGGACAGGTCTTGTTACTGAACAATTTCACTATTCCAGATACTTGGTTTGCTGTTATTTTTTTCATATGTTCTATTGCCTGTGTTCAGGTTCTTGAGACGATGGATAAAAGCTATCTAGTAGACTCCCAACCTCAACAGATCTTGCAACATCTTTCTTCCCAATTTCATGATGCTTTAAGATTAGACCCTCTTGCACAGAGTAGTGAGACCAAGGTTGCCTATATTTTTTTTTGCTTAATTTTTTGTTTTCTTTTTATTATGTGGGAACCTTTTCTTATTTTTTTGAAATGTCTGGTTCTACGAGTATGGTTGAATAGTAAGCTGATACTGAATTTCAATTGCTGCAGGAGAAGAACGTTATCACTTCGACTAATAATGGATTAGAAGGCCAAGGCTCAACTACAGAACAAGCAAGTTCAGTTGCCAATGCATTATCAATTGAAACTCCCAACAATCCTGTCAATTTCATTAAAACCACAGTAAAAAATCCCAGCAATGCAGTTTTGCCTGACGTGCTTGTCTCATCTGGGCAGCAAGATATGCATTCTGTGGGAAGGACTCCAGAGACTCCTCTTCTCGATGAAAGATCATTGTTGGCTTGCATTGTTCGTACAATCCCACCTGGACCTGGTGGACGAATTAGGATTAGTACAACGGTAAGTGAGATATTTCTTGCATTGTACATCTTTTAAGAATATTAAAGTTCTAATGATGGGCTGTTTCCGTGGGGATACATTTCAGATTCCAATAGTTCTTAGATGCTTGTCGACACATTTTTGACACATCTTGTGTGTGTGTGTGTGGAATTCATTGCTTCTGACACATGGTTGATACCTGTCAACATTGAAGTTTGTGAACAATGAATGTCCTTTTGAGAACAGAAAAAGTTAATTAATTGTTCGGATATAATTTATAAGAAGTTTAATCATATTTAAGAAGCAAATTTAAGTTACAAGAAGATTATGCCAAATGATTAAACATGTGAGGAGGAGATGAATCAACATAACTGTGTTTACGGATACATATATAGTACCTAAATGGCACACATTATACATATATATGGTGCATATGCTTGTTATGTCTATTGACTATAATAATTAATGAGTTATGGATTTTATGTCATAGTCATAGAGTATTAGAATTACTTATCATAGTAATTTATTGTACATAATATAAATTTTGTGAACACAAAAAATAATACATCTTTGTGATGAACCAAGAGGGGGAGGGGGTGAATGGTTTTCTACTGCCTTTAAAAACCTTATACAATGAAACTTGAGCTAAATGAGTGTCACTAGTAGGCTTGAGATGCAATGAGAATTCTAAGAACAGAAGTGTTTGATGAACGTCTGACTCAAACCCTAATTGAACACTGCTATTTGACATAATGCACAAGTGACAGAATTGAAGAATGCTAGATACCAAAGATATGAGGTAAAACACCTAGTGTAGGGGAAACATCCTCGAGGCTGTGAAGCCCATCTCAAAATCCACTATGAATGAAAATGAGGTACACCACACTCACTCCTTCACTCACAAACACTCACTAATCTCACCACAAGTGCGCTCAAGCACTCTCCCTGTCCACCGCACCTGCACCCACTGCTTGGGCTCACACTGAAACTTACAAAGAAAAGGATATAAAATACTCTCAAGCACTCAAAATAAGAATTACAACACACTAAGCTTGAGTTAGTCAGTAGCACATACTACTGCACACAGTTCTGCAGACTGAGGTTTGACGGGATGAAACTTTGATGCAGCCTCTGAGGCGCAGGTCTAACGCTTGTTGTCATCCCAGTTGCACTGATGTTTACTAGGCGCGCGCCTCGGTTGCACTTCGTCCTATTTGTCAGGCGCGCCTCACTTGTTTTTTTTTTTCTTCTAAAAATGATTATTCTATTTCTTAAGCTAGAAAGGGTACATTTGGCAACTTAATAAACAAATAAGAAAGCCTAAGCGTATGAGAGAAGGAAATTTTTTTTCAAAAGAATAAACAAATAAGAATGCCCAAGAGTCTAAATGTCAACCAAACATAGAAAGAGTGAGACTGTGAGACTTTTTCTTCTTCTTTTTTCTTCTTGGCTGAGTTTTTCTTCTTCTTTTTTTTTTTTTTGGCTTTATTTTTTCTTGTTAACAGTTTTTTTTTTTTGGTTAATAGATTTATTTCTTTTTGTGCTCTGTTTTGCCTTTCAAAAAAACAAATTTTGTTTTGCCTTTCAAGAAAACAAATTCTGTTTTGCCTTTCAAGAAATTATGGTTCTTGAATGTTTATAAAGTTGATGGATTTTCTTTTTTTATATTTGATATTAAATAAGAAGACTGATATGACTTATGAGATATGAATGCTTTTATGGTAGTTTAAAATTTCAATTGTGCGCCTCGCTTCACTCAGACACGCGCTAGGCTCCAAAGGACCTCTAGCCCCTTGAGCCTTTAATAACACTGGATCTTGCTAGGTAGGTGCTCCCACAGCTTCATATTGATGATAGACTTGCTCAGCACATGTACAGCTTCAGAAACAACAATGTAATATCAATCTTCTAGGTTTGGAGCTCTCAGGATCACAAGTTCTGCAGAATGATGTATTGGTTGTTGAAATGTAGCTGCTGGTGGCTGTGAGGTTTGATAACCACTTAGACAAGTTTGAAATGGCCAACAAAACTTCCTCAAACCCAGGATCACAAGTTCTGCAGAATGATGTATTGGTTGTTGAAATGTAGCTGCTGGTGGCTGTGAGGTTTGATAACCACTTAGACAAGTTTGAAATGGCCAACAAAACTTCCTCAAACCATAACTTAGCTCATATGACTAGGATTTAGCTATATTGAACTCAAAAATCCTTTGCTGTTGCAGTATCCAGAAGCTGCATCGCAGACTGAGCTCAGTGGTAGCACCTTCCTTCTAGCTTTAAACTTTGAAGCTTAGCTAGCCATTCTTGGTTTTAAATCTTAAGAAAGAAACTCTCAAGAATGATTAAACATTACAGAAGGGCACCCAAAGGTCCTCACTGGTTAAGTGCTCAATATAGACTCGGCATATTGCTTGATCTGTTATCAGATGGAGCCTTGCTTTATATAGAGCTTTTTGCTGTTGCAGCGATGGATAAGAATGATAGTTGTCTCTGGTGCTTTACAGGGAATTTTTTTGCTGTTATAGATAAGGAATGACCATAATAAAGCCCCGCTCCCAGCTGCCTTTCTAAAAATGGCAGGACTATCCTTGAAATTCAAATTATAGCAGCACTGAGCTGAGACAGCTGAGATATTTTCTCTGCAATGGAATCTTCTAGAAAACAATGAGTTGGCATGGCACTTGACTAGCGACCTGCACACGTGCACAATTATCTCAATCATCGCCTAAGCTCTGTCAGCTCGGTCTCTAGGTGTAGGCCGTCAGTTTCTTTCTTCACCCCCTACGGCAATTAAGAGATCGCCTGGCACTTCAAAAAGGAAAAAAAGGAGCACAAAAATACCCTTGAGGGGTAGTTAGTGTATACCTGCTGAAATGAGCTTATTACTAAACTGCTGGTAGCTGAACTGAACTTGTAAAAATATGGGCAAACTAAGTATAATGCTAATTCAGTACACCTACAGGCCTCAACACATAATTTCACTTAACCAGAAGAAATACTATCATGACAGATAAAATGCATTTCCAAAAACCGAACTGATAGAAAACATCAGCATGGATGCAATATACTAAAAATGCTGATATTACGAACATTGAGCCACACAACCTAAACTGAAGTGAGAAGAAGAATTTGATCCATACAAGGGATAGCTCGAGAGATTTTGACATTAAATGAGCAAACCCTAGGACATAGATCAACACTTTATTGTTGTGTTCTCACCATGTTTGTCTATGGATGTATCCGCTTGTATTGTATCTTTCTTGTGTCCATTCCATGTCGAAGCGTCTTGTATATTTTTATCTTTCCAAATTTAATTTGATGTATGATATCTATTTTTCTGTATTGAGTACAGCTTCCAAATAGGCTTGGCAAAATGATTACACCTCTGCGTTGGCATGATTACAAAAAAAAGTATGGAAAGCTTGATGACTTAGTGGCAGGTCATCCTGAAGTACGTGTTGTAGACCTTTAGTTCGTTGTTTCTACTTTTTCTTGGTATAGATTTATATTAAAACAGAGAATCTTTTGCTATTTCAGTTATTTCTAGTTGAAGGGGACTATATACAGCTTCGAGAAGGTGCACAAGAAATTATAGCTGCTACTGCAGCTGTTGCTAGAGTTGCTGCGGCAACTGCTGGATCGTCTTCTTATTCGCCACTATTGCCATCCGTTGCTGTTACTCCCATGGCACCATCTCACCGACTGAAGAGGACCCCATCTATTGATTCCAACCCTGTGAAGGCTGAGAAGACCATACCTGCAAATGCTTCACACCTTTCGGCAATGCAGAGTCAGCATCCTAATGGTGTTTGCTACAATATCGCTGGAGGTATCTCACATGTAAAAATTTTGAGCAAACCTAAAGATCCTCTGGAACTGAATGGACCTGAAACTAGGTCTGGCCAATCGTCCGGACTAATGACAGTAGGAAATGGGGCAACTCCAGATAGGTCAAGTTTGGTTGGCTCTCAAAGCAAGGGATCAACTCATGGGAGGTCCAGCGTGAATTTTGTTGAGAAACAGCATGGCAGGTATTGATCTTAGAACTTAAAAAAGAGCCGCTGGTTCTTCATCTGATGTTCAATTTCGTAGCTGTTTAGCCAGATTCCAAAAATAAGCATTGATCTCGATTTTTATGTGACAGGACAACTGGGGTCGCATTGACTTCTAGAAGATAGTAAGTTCACTTGATGTTGTAATGGAATTTAATCAGTTTTTACATCCAATTTCCCAGATATAGCATGTTTTTCTTTTTGCAAGATCTTCTGTCAGTGGCTGTGACGTTCCACAACTAAACTAATAGATTAAATATATCATTAAATATTTGACATTTATTACTGATATATGTTCAATAGCAAACAATTGGCGTGTTTGATGTATTCTAATGTTGAATGTAAGTGTTGGAAAGTTCGTTCTTCTTTCCTTGCACACTACTGACTTTTCTTAGAAAGGCTAGAATTTGAGGAGATGAGATTAATACCAACATGCCTTACCTTTAAAGACTTGGGTTTCTAATTACACCAATATTTTTATTTATCCTAATTAATGCAGTCACATTTCACATGTTAATTTATTCTGTGTCAAGGAATATTGTGAAGAATTGGGGATCTGGGAAGAGGGGATATGTTAACCATTTTCGAGACATTGGTTCATAGTAATAAGATATGAATGCATGGGGTATGAATGCATGGGGTTCGTCTGGATAGTAATTTGGGTCAAACATAAAAGCTAGATTAACGATATCCATGTATATCAAAGGTTTTGTCAAATAATGCTTCTGAAGGGCTAAATGTCCTGCCCTATCATTGTGTAAATACTACATTTTAAACATATTTGTCTAGGAATTTAATCTATATTACTAACAGTATGTTAGAACAGTTGTTTGAAGTAGTATGTAGTACTTCAGCCATGTTAATTCATTTGTCTACCACGATCACCTCAATAATATTGTCTGTTCTCAACTGCCAGTTATACAGTACTAGTTATCTATGTAACAAAGCAGAAGAAAATATTTATAACAGAAGTTTAGGTGCTGAACTTAAGGTTCAGAAGCCTTGAGATTGTGGATGCTTGCTTGCTTGACAAATTTTTTCCCCACTTTACTTGACCATTAGATTCCCTTTAATTTTTATAGCAGTTCCATCTATGTAACAAAGCAGAAGAAAATATTTATAACAGAAGTTTAGGTGCTGAACTTAAGGTTCAGAAGCCTTGAGATTGTGGATGCTTGCTTGCTTGACTATTTTTTTCCCCACTTGACCATTAGATTCCCTTTAATTTTTATAGCAGTTCCATATTTTGCATGATAGTACTCAGTTATCACACACCATACTTGTTTTTCGTTGTTCGTGCCATGATTCAATGGCCCAACAAGTGCCAGAAAGTACTTTAGGCTTTTTAGCATTACAGAATACATTATTGTTAGTCGGCAGATTCGATTGAAATATGTTATGTTTTCCCGTTTGGTTTTTGTTGTTATTTTGGTTAGCACAAGAAATTCATAATGGTTTTGTTTGGCAGGAGAATTTGGATTCTGTTAATCTTTTGATCAAAAGAGTGTCGGATCAAGCATACTGGGGATGATGACAGGTTTAAGGGAAATTTGGTCTCTCAAGTTGGAATCTCCTGTATTCTTTTGCTCTTTATAGAATTGTCTGATTCGAACCCTTCAGTCCATTTATTTTGTTCCGATTCTTGTTTGAAAAAGTTTCTGTGAATGTTCTCGCATACTTGGCACTGTACATCTAACGTTCTGCAGTGATATTTGTGTGCACAGTTGCATTCTTGCAGTCTGATGGCCAACTTTTTTTTTCCCTTCCGTTTTTTACATTATGAATTGCTTGAAGATAGTGATTAATGTTTGAATGAACAGTTGAATAAAACCAGCATAGAAAATCTCAGGGTGGAAGCTAAATTTTCATAGCTAGATAGAAAAAGTTTGAGATAAATCAAACTTATTAACCATACATATTGACACAGTGGAGTATGGTTGTTTGGGTCACGGATAATGAATGTAAGAGATGAAATTCAGGTACGGTTAATGGCTTGTTCATCGAGTTGGTAAAACTGTGGCTGCTGATGTTGTAAAGTAAAATCTAAGAGAGGAATTGTATTATAGAAGTCTATAGATAAATGAACAAGGAGGCCATACCTGTCGCATATGATCCTTTCACAAGATCTTGAAACTGTCAAGTTGAAAGATAAGTCTACCCATGACCGGAGAAAAATATTGCAGTGGCTCTTGCCTTTTGGGGGGCCGGTAGAATGTCATCCCCTCATTGTGCTGAGAGAACTGAGTCCGGCATTGTTTGCAGTGATGATTCATTCCCTTTTCTCTTATTTTTTTCACTTTTTTCTGAATCATTATCATTTTGGATTCACTTCGCAGTTGAAAATTTGTCAATCCATGTTGTTGAAGAAGGGAACTAGCAACCCGATTGAGAATAACAGCACAACCACACCAAGTCATGAATCGAGTATTGCACATACAAATGACGTAGAAGGGATACAATTCTTACAAAGTTGCTCTCTCCATTCGTATTGATGGAAATAAATTCTTTTTTTCAATCCATATAACCTTGTGTCATAACAATGGAAAGCAATGAATTCCTCACATGGTCTCCACTAAATGAGATGGATATCATATATATGTATCTCTCTCTCTCTCTCTCTCTCTCACAGACACACACACACACACACACACACACACACAGACACACACACACACACACACACACACACACAGACACACACACACACACACACACACACACACAGAGACACACACACAGACACACACAGACACACAGAGACACACACAGAGACACACAGAGACACACACAGAGACACACACACACACACACACAGACACACACACACACACACACACACACACACAGACACACACACAGACACACACACACAGACACACACACACACACACACACACACACACACACACACACAGACACACACAGAGACACACACACACACACAGACACACACACACACACACACACAGACACACACACACACACACACACACACACACACACACACACAGACACACACACACACACACACACACACACAGACACACACAGACACACACAGACACACATGTGTCTCTGTGTGTGTCTCTGTGTGTGTGTGTGTGTGTGTGTGTGTGTGTCTGTGTGTGTGTGTGTGTGTGTGTGTGTGTGTGTCTGTGTGTGTGTGTGTGTGTGTGTGTGTGTGTGTGTGTGTGTCTCTGTGTGTGTGTGTGTGTGTGTGTGTGTGTGTGTGTGTGTCTGTGTGTGTGTCTGTGTGTCTGTGTGTCTGTGTGTGTCTGTGTGTGTGTGTGTGTGTCTGTGTGTGTGTGTGTGTGTGTCTGTGTGTGTGTGTGTGTGTGTGTGTGTGTCTGTGTGTGTGTCTCTGTGTGTGTCTCTGTGTGTCTGTGTGTGTGTCTCTGTGTGTCTCTGTGTGTGTCTCTGTGTGTGTCTGTGTGTGTCTGTGTGTGTGTCTCTGTGTGTGTGTGTGTGTCTCTGTGTGTGTGTGTGTAGCCAAATGATGGAAGAAAAAAAAAAGAAAAAAAGAACCACCATAACCGCTCTTGTGAAAAAAACCACATGCATGTCACCAGAGCTATACTGAAGAGATCATATCTTCTACTGATCATATTAGTTTTCATTAAAATACTAAATTGACAAAACAGATTACGCAAGGCCGTTCGATGCAGTGGTACAACTATAATTCAGGACTGATGATGGGCAAAAAAAAATGTATTTGTTTGTTCACTGGCGTTGAGAAAGTTGCAGTTATACCCATATTTAGAAACTCACACACACCAAGAGATCATATCTTCTACTGATCATATTAGTTTTCATTAAAATACTAAATTGACAAAACAGATTACGCAAGGCCGTTCGATGCAGTGGTACAACTATAATTCAGGACTGATGATGGGCAAAAAAAAATGTATTTGTTTGTTCACTGTCGTTGAGAAAGTTGCAGTTATACCCATATTTAGAAACTCACACACACCATGAACACCTAGAGGGATCAAACAGCAAAAATGTAGGATCGTAGTCATCTCAGAAAAGGATTCTCTATTCCCCACTGTCACGTCCAGAAGCTGACTTTCCTTGGCCATCACCTGAACCAGCCTCCGAGCCATCACACACACACACACACACACACACACACACACACACACACACAAGCCAAATGATGGAAGAAAAAAAAAAGAAAAAAAGAACCACCATAACCGCTCTTGTGAAAAAAACCACATGCATGTCACCAGAGCTATACTGAAGAGATCATATCTTCTACTGATCATATTAGTTTTCATTAAAATACTAAATTGACAAAACAGATTACGCAAGGCCGTTCGATGCAGTGGTACAACTATAATTCAGGACTGATGATGGGCAAAAAAAAATGTATTTGTTTGTTCACTGGCGTTGAGAAAGTTGCAGTTATACCCATATTTAGAAACTCACACACACCATGAACACCTAGAGGGATCAAACAGCAAAAATGTAGGATCGTAGTCATCTCAGAAAAGGATTCTCTATTCCCCACTGTCACGTCCAGAAGCTGACTTTCCTTGGCCATCACCTGAACCAGCCTCCGAGCCATCTTGCCTACTTCCTCCTGCATCCACCAAACCGCGTGAAATGCCTAGTCCACCATGCATAGCCTGATGCATATCATTGATTGCAGTAGGTCTCATGCCAGCATGCCCTTGCATGAATTGCTGTTGTTGGAAGTGAGGTAGCTGATGTTGCTGCTGGTATTGCTGATCTTGAGATTGATGGGCACCAAGCTGGAAAGGCAGCTTTGAAGCAAAAACACCCATCTGTTGCTGAACAGCTGCAGCCTGAGGTTGCTGCATTTGATGCCCTTGTTGCACAACAGGATGGGAGGGTGTCTGCAATTTTCAGAAGTCAGCAAGAAACTATAGTTCCACGACAATGTTTGACTGGGTGCTTATCGGTAAATCTACCTGAGAAGGCACTGTTGGTGCTTGAGGTTGGGCATCAGCAATTGCAGCTAAATACATTAAGTTCTTCTGAAGCTGGGCCTGATACCTAAATCATGTAAATTGTCATAAGGTTTTGCCAACTTCTTTTCCTTGAAATAAAAGTACCAGAAACCAGCAAGGAATGTAAGCATAATAGAGGCTATTGAGATAAACAGAATGACATGGCATTCCATTTAATTTTCAGATTCTCTGCGCCAATTTGAAAGTTCACATAATTCTATCACACTCCAAAATAACCGTAAACAAACATACTCAAAACATCATAGACATCTTAGCTTGCAGCAAGCATTAATTTTATGAGTACAAGAGAAAAGTAAAAAGGGCCCAATGGAAATATACTTCCTAGATTTCACTCAATTACATACTCCAAGAATTAGTCATCTTCATTTTCATTTCGAATTTTGGTTAATGTGGAACCAACTCATATGTGTTTCAGAAATTCACATCACAAAATGTATATGATCAAAACAAGGTTTAAAATATACGAATTCACTTCAAATTTTTACTACTAACTGAAATACATATCCATCAACTTCTCCGTTCTTCACATCCCTTTATGTGTAAAAGGAAAATGAGGGGCAAGGCCAGATCCAGAATCTCATACTCACAGAACGATGCCCTTAAGTACACATGTTCCAGTTCCGCTCTTCTATTCATAATTTATTGCTTTGAACTTCAGCAGAAATTTGTTGAATTTCTTAATTCTATATTGCAAAGCAAATTCATTGCAGTTTATTTAAATGAATACTGAAAACCCATGCAAATAAACTCTACCTTCAGTTACAATGGATGATCTATATTCTTGACAGCAGCGATTATGAATCCAACAGGGTCCTATTACTGCTACTTGGGGATATCATTTTACCCCATCTATGCCTATGTGCCTCCGGTCAGAACCATGCATTTTATTTTTCGGCAGGTAAACTGGGGAGGGGGGCAGAGAGAGAATACACAACCAGAGCTCAATACATCCCGTAAACAACATCTCATTGCCAGAGAAGAAAGCAACCTAACCTGCAAGAACAAACTCTTACAGCTGAAAAGAATAGGGAAACTCAAACAAATACCCAATAGGATAGATGACAGAATGCCCCAAAGGCAACAAAACAGCACCTTTCACAAGCTGAAAAGCTAGGTGTCTCTAAGCAATAGATGCTGACGTTTCTAGAGACATTAAAATTCAAGGAGGATCACGATAGTCCCTATTGCTCTTAGATTTAGGAGGAGTTGAAGGGATCTATACTGGTTTAAAACATGAATTTTAAAATAACAAAGATGGATTCACAATTGCCTTTTCCCTTGCTACCTTTAACTTAGTAATTATTCCTCCAATCGTTCTTGTTTTGCCCACTTGAGGTCTCACTCTCCGTTGTAATGGGACTCACATTCTCTCGTCCTGTTTTTCTCATCCTCTTTTGGACACCTACTCAATCTGTTTTCCTACCTTTCAAGCACTCAAAAGTCCTCAAAATAGGGATACAAGAATCAATAAAAACAAACTCAAGATCAAATTTTAGTTCCCCGCATGCAGAAGCTCCTAAGATGCTACAATAAACTGGGATCCACTCTCATTTGACCTTGAATTCAAACAATTTCAACAACAATTACTTCACCACTAATTGAAAATTTAGTATGTAAAGAACCTCATCATTGAAAGGGATTAGCCATACAAAGTACCCACAAATCAGCCACAAAAAAATTACTACTCACACCTGAAAAATTAGACGACACAATTCCTTACACATTGGAAGGTAAAAAAATGAAGCATACACTAGCTAACTGTTCACTTACTGGGCACATTCGGCAAGTTTCCCAAGTTTCTGATATTCCAGTATCGCCAGGATCAAATTTTTGTTCTCATCCAAGTACTGCATTGATGATAGACAACAAGTGTATTTGATAATCAATAATTTTCAATACAATTTCAGAGAATAGTCCATATTTCTGTAATACAATTGAATTTCCAGTCAACATTATATAATTCAAGTGTCTTCCACAACCAAAATCTAAAATTCATAACCCAGAGTGAGAGGATTACAATAAATAAAACAAAATAAAATAAAAAAACCCATCTAAGTTCATTTAAAGAAGTGCTTCCAAATTTCGGGGAAAATAAAAAGAAAAAGGGATTGGTAACAAAACATCATTAGCACATGCTCTGCTGGTCTATATAAAATACCTCAATAACACATTCTTTCCAAGAACTTATATCATGTCACATGAATTAATTGGAAAACCAAATATGTGAATCATATATACTCTAAATCAAACACGTTATATTATTCATGCAAACAAGGCAGATACAATTAGCAATTAATTACCGATGTTTTATATAATATGTCTTCAATGGACGAACAGGGTCTAAAGACAATCTCAAACGGTGCAAACATAGTCTTGTAGAAAACAACAGTATCGGCGAAAACATGTCACTATTTGTGTGTGGTATACATATATATTTACATATACAGACAGAGGTAGAAATAAATGTGTTCATATATGTGAATATTTTTGAACAAACCTTTTGAATCTGCTCAGTGGTGATGTTATTTGGAGAGAATGATGATGGAGTGATCAACGTTTGTTGTTGCATTTCTCAGTTGGAGGTTTCTGTACTGTGTTAATGAAAAAACCCTAAAACCCTAGTTTTTTTTCTTTCCAAATGAGACAATTTATGATTCGAGAGACGTCAAATGAAGCGATGCATTGGAGTGAGAGGGGAAGGTAAATACGACAGCGTATGTACTGCATCAGCGGAGCTTCCTGCGCTAGGCCTGTTTGGCTTACCTGGATACCCATTTTCCAACCGAGAGACCCGGATTTCGCTGCCCCACTGGAGGAAAATCCAGGTCCATACATAATACATCCGTTCCTCCTTGTTGACTGAATCTAAGGATGGCAACGAGGCGGGGTGGGGCAGGGATTTCATTCCCCATTCTCATCCCCATCCCCGATACATTTTTCATTCCCTATCCCCGCCCCCATCCCTGCTTAAAATTTTGACAGAATCCCCATACCCGCCCCCGTCCTCGCCACCTTATTCCCATTCCCGCCCCGCCCCCGGCCCAGCCCTCATAATTTTTTTTATTAAAAAAAAAACATATATATATTTTTTCTTATTTTTATATATATAATAAATCTAATTTAGTAATAAATTATTATATGTAAGGGTATATTAGTAACTTCACATTTAAACGGGGCGGGGCGGGGCGGGGCGGGGCGGGTTTACCCTATCCCGACCCCGGCGGGGATTCATAAATTAGCCCCATCCCCATCCCCATTTAGTTAAAAGGATCCCCATCTCAGCTATAAACGGCGGGGATAGGGAATTTGCCATCCCTATGACTAACTACTAGGTCATACTAATTAGGACTTGGGCGGGCTGAAGAGCCAAGGTAAACGCCCACCCCAAATTTAAGGTTTTAATATCTCAACCAACGTAAAACTCAAGTTCTGAAAAAAATTCATCATATCTCAACTCACATCATATAGGTTTTTCGGGGGGTTTTTGGATTCCTGGAGTCATCCAAAATTGTAATATCTTACTAATAAATAAACAATTAATTTTTATTTTATTTTATTAAAGTATACTTACACTTAAAATAAATAAAAAAAACTAATTTTTACTTGAAAATTTTAAAGCGTTTCTAAGTTAGGTGAATACCCAATATTAAATCATCTAATTTTAACTTTATTTTACATAAATAACGAATAATACTAAAAATAAATAAATTATATACTTTTTTTGTATTTCGGGTTCCTCAGGTTACTCCAGTTAGTAAAATCTTTATCCAATTCTCATCCAAAATAAATTCAGACTTTAAAATTTAAACCCAATCTTGTCTGATAATTCCAAGTACAAATTTTCAGGTGGGACTCGGGATTGTTCGCGTTAGGTCCACCCAAGTCCCAACCCTAATACAGATGAATGAAATCTGGTAAGAAATGATACAATTACTATAAAGTTGCAAGATTAAATTTTGCTCAATAATTTATAAGATCAAATGTTACTATTGTTATTTTTTGGGTACGATTTTACACTTTAGCACCCTAATGCCTTTACCCTTTTAGCACCCTAATGTCTTTCCTTTTAGGTCCTGAAATTTCCGACCTAAGTTTATAGGTTGTTGTGCATAATGAATCTTGATTTTTTTCCTGTTGAAATAGTTGTTACACTATAGATACCAAGAAGTCCTTGATTGGTGCATAAAAGTATAGCATTGAAATTTGAAGCTAGTGGCAGCAAGTCATTCAATATTTCTCTACTTCCGAGTCTCTGTGATACCATGGCTGTTAGTCCAATGACATACAATGGTAATGGAAAAATGGCCAAAAAGTTTTTGATGATGAGTCATTGCATATGCAGTCTAGGGCTAATCGATTTGTATTGTTTGAGTGTATATCATCAATCATTAATTTGGCATGCCCTAATTGATTTTGGACATCATAATAAAAAAAATAAAAATAAATAAATAAATCAGATGTATGAGCTCTTGCATTCTTTGTATAAAATACCATATGAACAACTATTATTAGCACTTCTTAATGAGTGCTATAAACTTGAATTTTCTCTGTTATATACACTTCCTTTGTGATTACCATTCAACTTCACAAGATATTCTACAACATCTCTCATGGATGGTCTAATATCCACCATCTGTTCAGTACATTGAATTGCCAAATCTAGCAGTTTCAGTGCCTTCCTTTGGTCATCTATATCCCAGAAACTGATTTCTTCATCAAGGAATGAAGAACAATCATCACTTTCCTGCAAATTTTTCCTAATCCAGGAGACAATGTCTAGGCCTCCATCGAAGCTGGGGTCTATAGGCAATCTCCGGCAAAGAAGCTCTAGCAAAATAACTCCATAGCTGTACACGTCGCATTTCTCTGTCAACTGGATTGAGTATCCATTTTCTGATTTGAAGACAACAAGAATAAGAAGGGAAAAAAAAAATGCAAGCATAAGAGTCAGATTAATCAAGTAAAAGGTATTTGCGTAGTAAAAAAAAAAAAAAAATGCAACCAACCTGGTGCAATGTAGCCTAGTGTGCCAACAATTGTGGACCTTGTTGAGCTTTCATTTGAATCACAAACTAATTTCGCCATTCCAAAATCCCCAATCTTTGGTTCCAATTCAGCATCCATCAAAATGTTATCTGATTTAACATCTCTATGAATGATCTGTGGCACACAGTCATGGTGAAGGTAGGAAAGGCCTTGTGCAATACCAAGAGCAATGTGATAACGAGATTCCCACTTCAAAACCATACGTGGTTTGTTCCGGTGTAGTACATCAAATAGAGTCCCCCCTGGCATGTACTCGGTGACAATGAAGCCATATCCATCTTTGATGCAATATCCTACCATTTTCAACACATTCCGGTGCCTGACCAAATTCGAAGTTCTCGTCTCAAGACTGAAGTTTGTCTCAGACAAATCCACCTTCTTGACAGCCCATTGTTTTCCGGATTTCACAGATTCTGTCCTATAAATTGTACCATGCCTGCCTCTCCCAATCACATACTTGTCATTCCAGCCTTCAGTTGCAAGCATTATATCTTCGAATTTCAAGTCCTCAGGTAAATCTTCAATTTTTGATTGACACACTTGAGGAAGACAATGCTGAGTGAGAAATCGACGTTTAAGGCCTCGAACCACTAATATGTAGATTGTCACACAAAGTAGTGCCACAGACAAAACCGCACCAATTATTACACCGGCTAAAATCTGGCCTTTTGGATGATATTTTTGAGCTTCCCCACAGTGACTAGCCTTAGTGCCTAACAAACAGAGTTCTTGATTTCCAAGTGAGGACCCTGGATGTGAACCTAATATTTTGATCCAAGCAGCTGGGATTTTGCCTGAGAGGTGATTAAATGATATGTTCACCAGAGAAAGGGTTATCATATTGTTCAATTCTGATGGTAGCGCACCTGAGAAACTATTGCTCGAGAGATCTAGAATCTCTAATTTGTCTAATTTTCCAAGGCATTTGGGAATTTCACCAGACAGCCTATTATTGCTCAAATTTAGAACTGAGTTGAAATTGTCAAGTTTGCTCAGGCTGCATGGAATAGGACCTTCCAGCATATTATTTCCAAGCTGCAATTCGAAGATATTTTGGTTGGAAGAGAAGGAGTCCGGAACAACTCCACTTATTTTGTTATCCTGAAGGAGGAGGCTTTCCAATTCTACAAAATTTGTGATATCTGAAGGAATACTACCAGAAAGATCATTATTGCTCAGGTCGAGTTTAGTCATTCTTGTGCAATGACTCAACTCTGATGGAATGCTGCCAGTCAGTCTATTCGAAGACAGTCTTAAAACCTGAAGATTCTGAAGCCTTCCAAGCTCGGTAGGTATAGAGCCTGATAGAATATTTTCCGAGAAATCAATCATTGTGAGGTTGCTCCAAGAACCAAAAAATGCCGGAATTGTTCCTTGGAACAAGTTTCCTCGAATGTTTAAGAAAGAAATTTCATTGCTCTCATCCAAATTACTTGGTATAGTCCCTTGCAGAAGATTATGACTAAGAACAACCCTTTTAAGAGACTTACATTTTCCAATTTCAATTGGAAAACTCCCATTAAAACGATTGTATCCAAGGGTCAGGACCAAAAGGTTGTTGCCAGTGCATATGCCAGAAGGAATCGATCCATAAAGGTGATTTCCAGTTAAATCCAGTTTAACAAAACCAGGAGAATTATTCTTTCCAAGCTCGGATGGCACCTCCCCAATCAAATCATTGTGAGCAAAAGAAAGGAATGTCAAGTTTGTCAAACGAGTAATTTCAGTTGGTATTCTGCCATTTATGCTATTGTTGTATAGAGCTAGCTCAACAAGGCTGCTCATATTCCCAATCTGTTGAGGGATGTGACCTTCAATATGATTGTTAAACACATAAAAAAATTGAAGACTCTGAAGCTCACAAATTTCCGGAGGAATTGCTCCTCCAATGAAGTTATGCTGAAGCCTGATTTCAATAAGGGAACTGCAATTCCCAAGCCCAGGAGGTAATGAGCCATTAAGCATGTTATCAAAGAGAAGCAGACTACTTAGGTTTTGCAGACTTCCAATTGACATTGGAATCTGACCCTCCAAGTTATTGCCTGACAAAGCAATAACAGCTAGTTGATGACAATGAGCAATTTTTTCGGATATAGTTCCGTCGAGCTTGTTTCCTGATAGAACAAGCTCTTGCAACTTCTCAAGACCCCATATAGTCTCAGGAACTTCCCCTTCAATATTGTTTTCATCAAGATAAAGAATTTCAAGTTGCAAGAGACTCTTGAAGATTTTTGGTGAAAGAATTCCTCCCAGATTATTATTAGATGCATAAAACACTGTGAGGTTGTGACAATTACCCAAACTAAGTGGTAAAGAACCAGAAAATGTGTTTTCATGAATCCATAAATCAGAAATTGAACACGAGGATGATAAACGAGGTAGAGGTCCAGTAAGATTATTTGTGTTCAAATACAGAAACCTCAAATTTGGCAGTGAAAAGAGTTCACTTGGAATCTCTCCACTCAAGAAATTGTTATATAACCCGAGATATTCAAGGTTGGTGCAGAGGCCTACCTCAGGAGGAATTGTGCCAGAGAGCAGATTATAACCCAAGTCGAGTTGTAGGAGCCTCTTCGAATGGAAAAGCTCAGAGGGGATCGATCCTGAAGGCCATTGTCGTTGAGGAGAACGGTATCGAGTCTGCTGCAGTTTCCAAGCAACGAAGGGATGCTACTGGTGAAATTGTTGGCACTAAGATCGAGGGAGAGCAACCGCTGAAGATGGCAGAGATGGGAAATGGAGTAGTTTAAGATTCCTGAGAGGCCAAAACTCGAGAGGTTTAAGGACTTGATATTGAAATTGTTGTTGGAGTGGCAAGAAACTCCTGGCCATTGGCAATGCTGAGAAGGTGAAATGGATTGATTCCATGGCAGGAGAAGCTGAGAAGGTTTTGGCAGACTGTCGCGGAATTTGAGGAGAGAAATTGCAGGTTGAGGCAGTGAGATTGATGAAACTGAAAAGAGGTTGAGAGAGAGAAGAACAAAATTGAGGAATAGCAAGAACATGGTATAGCCTCATATGTTTCTGTTTTTTCAAATGGAATTGGATGATCGTCCTTATAGTTGCTATGCGTGGATTGAAACCATGAACTGAGGGCTGTTTTTGGTGCTTTTAGTGCTGTCTGCCAAATGCTAATGTCTTTTTAACTGTTTTATTTGAGTCTGTGGGGGATGTTTGGGGAGTTGGTAGGAAATGGCATAGTTGTAAAGAAACAGTGTCCAATATGTGCAGTTTGGATGTTTATGCAACTTTTGTTTTTAGAATGTAATTTTGATTAACTTTGATTCAAAGATAAGTATTAATAATGGGTTTGGCCAACATGGGTAGATTCCAATAAAGAAGTACTGTCAACACACTTTTAAATTTTTTTAGTATTTGTTTGGCAACTTTTTATTAGAAATGTAAAGAAAGAAGGCATGAAAGACGTGGGTTAAAATGCATACGCCACATGATGTGCTAATGCTTTGTCATGGGATCTACAATCAGCCAATACCATCAAAAAATCACTTGACACCTTATCTTCCCTTTCTGGCCTTAAACCTAACCCCAGTAAAAGTAACTATATTTTAGTGGAGTTCCTGTAACCACTAAGGGCAACCACTAATACTAAAAAAAGTGCCAAGAATCTTGGTATCCCACTTATTACATCTAAGCTTTCTGCAGCTGATTTTCAATGGTTGGTGGACAAAATGATGGGGAAAATTTCAAACTGGACTACAAGAGCTTTATCTTTTGCTGGAAGACTCCAGCTGATCCAAGCTACATTGGACAAATCTTCTTATTCTCCCTGCAAAGGTGTGCACACTGATCAACAATGTTCTTCAAAAGTTCCTGTGGGTTGGTCCTTCAATGTCTAAGTTTGGGGCCAAAGTTCAATGGGACAATGTTTGTGCACCTAAACAGGTTGGGGACTAGGAATCCCTGATATCAGTTTATGGAACAGAGCTGCCATCATCAGACATTTGTGGACTATCTGCTCAACTGAGACAAATAGCTTATGGAAGGAGTGGACATGCAAATATCTCATCAAGAATAGAAGCACTTGGGAAGTTAAAATCCTGAATGACTGCTCTTGGTTTTGGAGGAAGCTGCTTCAAAACAGACACCTTGCTCAGACTTTTGTCAAACACAAGGTGAACAATGGAACTTCTACAATGATCTTCTTCGACAATTGGCTACCTTGTGGCCCATTATTTCAGGTATTAAACTCTAACTCTAGACAAGGATGGCAATGAAACAAATATGTGAAAGTCTCTCTTGTTATCTCTAATAACCAATGGAATTCGCCTCGGTATATCTTGAACCTCATAACACCCTACGTGTTATGTTGTGTTGCCAACCTTTCAGTGTAGCCGATAGTGTGTAATGCATGATATAATGATCATTGTTCAGGTAGGCTTGGTGGTCTTTTGTCTTTTGAATGCCTTGGACTTACCCAATAAAAATAGTAGATTGGTTTAACTTCCACCACTTGTACTTTGTGTCTGTATGATCTTGGTTGAGTCAAACAACAACATTTTTAACCGTTCCACATCAAATTAAAAGATCAGTGTAACGACCCTAAACTGATACCATTTAAAAAAAATTCGGCATGACCCCTCCTAAAAATGGGTCTACCACAACCTATTTAAAAACATTTTTTAACCTGTCCTAGCACAATAAATATAAAATATATATTCCAGCATCCCTTTCATCCATTCATCATACCTTAATTTAATGCATTTCATAGTGGTACAACCACGTACTATATCATTCAGATAACATAATTACAGTCCCAAAATACAAGATTAATTTCAATGCCCATATTTTACAACTTTTAGACAGCTCCTACAAAAGTTACGGCCCATAGGTACGATTATAATATTAAAAGTCCATAAGTCGTTGTACAAAATACATTATGCTTAGTCTTACAAAAATAGTGAGGCCCAAGTACAAGAATAACAAAATAAGTTCCTAATCCATACTAAGTCTGTGGTAAAATGTCATCCGTCACTTCTTTCCCGTTTCCTGAAAAAAATTATTAAATAATAGAGTGAGCATAAAGCTCAGTAGGTGACACTTAAGACATAATTCTTGTGTCCTTGTGAATCCAAACAAAGCATAGGCCAATGGGAAATAGGGATCATGCAATATAGGGAATTAAAACAATATGTACGTCAATTCCAATTATAAACCATGTAGTGCAATGAAATGCAATGCATGCTAATGTCACTCCCCATTTTCATTCATAAAACCATCATTTTCTAATGTTAATACAGCCCGCCCTTTGGTAACCCCGCCGCGACACGAGAAGAGGATTGGCTACCGTCCCTAGACCTTTGGTAACCCCGCAGTGTCATCGAAAGGCCCGAATAGCTCAACCACGCTAGGGGGACTCCCTAGTCCCCTCTAAACTATATTAACCTCCGGCCCGTTGGTAACCCCGCAGCGACCGAGTTTATCAAAACTATTTCACAAAACTCTTCTCCCAAAATTTCCCCCATTTTCATTTCAAGACAAATTCTCCCATTTCATGCATCCCAATGACATGTGCATGGATGTACATATAATCTCAATATTATGACAATGGGAAATTTGGCACAATCTAAATAAACATGTTCTCATAAGTCATTTTCAGCATGTTAACACATGGTGAGCATGATAAAACAACATCTAAACATACTTTACACATGAAACAAGTCATATTCAAGATCTTGAAAATTCTTAAAACATCATTCATACAATCATAGATACAATTAACTCCCAATTAAACATGTTTGACACAACAAGGAGGTGTAATTCACAATAGAACAAGAAATGAGTGAATTAAGATGCCCCTACCTCAAAATGAGCAAAATCCCTAGAAATGGGTTCTTAAATTCAAGCTCCCAAAGAGGACCAAAAGCTGAAATTTCTGGTACTAATACGTAGAACTCGTCGTGCTTGTCGTTTTGCCTCAAACGGCACTCAATTCCGATAAGAAATGAAGAAGGAATCAAGATCCCAAGTTTGGTTCTAAAAAGAAAAGAAAAAAGAAGAAAATGAGAGAGAAGAGAGAGTTCAGCGGGGAGAGAGAAAGATGGAGCAAAAAAAAAAAAAAAAATGGTCTCTAGATCTTTTGTGGTGTGAGTGGCGGGTCCCGCTACTAGCTTTTTTTTTTTTGCTTTATCTTTATGCTTCAATTATCTCTACCACACAAATAATAATACACATCACCATAAAATTGTCACATAATTCACATAAATTAAAATGTGAAAATGTAACAGGACCCAACCACAATCCTGGACGAAAAGAGAGAGGACGAAAATACCCTTGTCTTCACAAATTTCCAGAAAAATGGAAAATGTTGAAAATTGGAAATATTACAATCTCCCCAACTTAAAAGGATTTCGTCCTCGAAATCAAACCATACATGGGGAAGAAAACAACTCTGGGTACCTGGAGCGAACCTCCTGTTCGAGCTCCCAAGTGGCCTCCTCGACTCCGTGGCGTCTCCGAAGGACTTTCACCATTGGTATCGTCTTGTTCCTCAACACCTTTTGTTGTGTGTCAAGAATCTGAACTGGTCCTTCCTCGTAGGAAACATCCTCATCAATGTTTACATCAACCCAACTCAAAATGTGAGATGGATTTGGCTCGTATTTCCGTAACATCGATACATGGAAAACATTGTAGACTCTATCCAACTGTGGTGGCAAAGCAAGTCTATAGACAACCTCTCCTATACGGTCTAAAATCTCAAATGGTCCAATGAATTGTGGCAACAACTTGCCATTTTCATCAATCCTTTCCATGGAGAAATCCGAAGAAAAACGTGGTCTCCCACCTCAAAGGATAACGGCCGTCTTCGCTTATCCACATAACTCTTCTGTCGGCTCTGAGCTGTAAGTAGCCTCTGTCTAATCAGCTTAATCTTCTCAGTAGTCTCGAGTACTATGTCGGGTCCTAAGGCGGCGGTCTCACCCACCTCAGTCCAACAAACAGGAGACCTACAAGGTCTACCATACAACGCCTCAAATAGAGCCATCTGAATGCTCGCCTGATAATTGTTGTTGTAGGCAAACTCAATAAGTGGAAGGTGATCCTCCCAACTACCACCCAAGTCAAGCACACATGCTCGAAGCATATCCTCCAAAATCTGGATAGTTCGCTCCGACTGACCGTCTGTCTGTAGATGGAATGCCGTACTAAAATGCAACGCTGAACCAAACGCTGTTTGAAGTCCTTCCCAGAACTTCGAAGTGAACTTAGCATCTCTATCTGACACAATGGTTACAGGAACTCCATGTAACCTTACAATCTCTTTCACATAAAGTACACTAAGCTTCTCCGCATCATCTGTTGCCTTAATAGGCAAAAAGTGAGCCGTCTTGGTCATCTGTCAATGATGACCCATACGGCCTCATTGCCCCTCCGTGACCTTGGAAGACCTGTTACAAAATTCATACCAATATGCTCCCATTTCCATTGCGCTACAGGTAATGGTTGCAACAAACCAGCTGGTCTCTGATGCTCGGCCTTCACCTGCTGACAGGTAAGGCATATAGCCATAAACTGTGTAACATCTTTCTTCATCCCTTTCCACTAATACTGACGTCTCAAATTGTGATACATCTTGGTACCACCTGGATGAATTGCAAAGCGGGAAGTGTGAAACTCCCGTAGGACGTCCTCACGACAACATGTGGGAACTACCAACAAACCCCTGAACCGTAGACCCGCATCTGCATGTAAGGCCCAATCTTTCACTGTTTCACCACTGGAGATCAAAGCGTGAATGGCATCTAAATTAAAGTCCTGTCTCTGTGACTCAATCACTCGTACAACAAGAGTAGGTTGATCCACAAGATTAAATAAGAACGCCGACTCACTGCAAACATCATCATCAAAATACTGTAATCCCATCTCTGCCAGATCCTTAAGCATCTTCCACTTCTGAATAGCCAAACTAGCCAAAGTTCCACGAGATTTCCGGCTTAAGGCATTAGCTACCACATTTGCCTTACCTAGATGATACTGCAAATCAAAGTTGTAATCTTCCAAGTACTCAACCCATCGTCTCTGTCTATTGTTCAAGTCCTTTTGGGAGAAAACGTATTTGAAACTTTTATGATCCGAGAACACCTCGAATCTCTCACCATACAAATAGTGTCTCCAACACTTCAGAGCAAACACGACTGCCGCCAATTCCAAATCATGAGTAGGGTAGTTGTACTCATGAGTCTTCAATTGTCGTGACCCATAAGCTACTACTCTACCATCCTACATCAATACACATCCCAAGCCATCACGTGAAGCATCACAATAGATTACATAACCCAAGCCACGCTTGGGTATCACCAACACTGGAGCTATAGTCAATCTTGTCTTAAACTCCTGAAAAGATGACTCACAAGCTTCATTCCACGCAAACTTGATCCCTTTCCGGGTCAAACGAGTTATAGACGCTGCCAAACGGGAGAAATCTTTCATAAATCTCCGATAGTAACCCGCTAAACCAAGAAAACTACGGATCTCAAAAACATTATTGGGTTGCTCCCAATTCAAAACTGTTTCAACCTTTGATGGATCAACTGACACTCCACCTTCCGAAACAACATGTCCCAAAAATTTCACCTCCTGTAGCCAAAACTCACATTTCTCATATTTGGCATACAATCGGTGCTCCCGCAAAATCTGTAATACAATACTCAAATAGACCTCGTGCTCCTCTCGAGATCGTGAATACACAAGAATGTCATCCACGAAAACTATCACAAACTGGTCCAAGTAATCGTGAAAGACGCGGTTCATTAAGTCCATGAATGCCGCTGGTGCATTAGTCAAGCCAAAAGGCATAACAAGGAACTCATAGTGTCCATACCGTGTACGGAATGCTGTCTTCGGGATATCCTCATCCCTAACCCACAACTGATAGTAGCTAGACCTCAAGTCAATCTTCGAAAAACAACTGGCTCCCCTCAACTGATCAAATAAATCATCTATCATTGGCAAAGGATACTTGTTCTTGATGGTGGCACGATTTAACTTCCGGTAATCAATACACAACCTTAAAGAACCATCATTTTTCTTAGCAAACAAAACCGGTGCGCCCCACAGTGACACACTTGGTCTGATAAAACCTTTCATCCTCAAGTCATCAAGCTGCCTCTTCAATTCTTCCAATTCAACTGGTGCCATACAATATGGTGTCATAGAAATCGGTGCGGTACGAGGCATCAAATCTATAGTGAACTCCACTTCTCGGTGTGGAAGCAACTCCGTCAAATCTTCTGGAAAAACATCCAAAAAGTCACAAACAATCGCCGGATGAACTTCTCCCACGACATCATCTTCTTCGGCTAGAAGACTAGTCGAGAAATAATCACCACGACTCCGTCTACAAATTCCATACGACGATGACGGTTGGGAATCACTCCGATCTCCAATGAAAAAGAAACAATCTCCGTCCGGAGTACAAATCGTGACTCTTCCTCTAAAACAGTTAATCGTCGCCCGAAAGAACGTTAACCAATCCATCCCAAGGATGACATCAAAGCTAGTCATCTCCAGGAGGAGAAAATCCGTCCGACTATCACAATGGAACAATCCCGCACAACTCGGCTCAAGGATACTGAAACCCCAACTGGTGTGTCAACACATAACGCCCGCTCCAAGAAACTAACCTCTAACTCCGATGCAAGTGCAAATGAGGATGAAATGAAGGAATGAGATGCACCAGAGTCAAAAAGAATGCGAGCCCAAGAACAAAACACTGGAAAGATACCTTGGAGAACTGACGGTCCAGAAGATGTATCAGCTGGTGCAAATGCAAAGACACGTCCCCGTGGTGCTTGTGCCTGAGAACTGCCACCCTGAACACCAGACTGCTGCACTGACATGGTAGGAACATCCTTCCTAACTGGTCGTGAACCCTGAGAAGACAAGGCAGACTGTGGTGGAGGTGGCGATCTGAAACCTGACTGAACTGTAGCCGACTGTGACGGCCTCTGTCGTGACCCCCTGCCACTACCAGTACCTACTCCCTGACTTGGGCAATCTCGAATCAAGTGACCCTGCTGGACATACCCATTACAAACCCTCGGAGCTGAAGAAACTGAAGATGATCTCATAGGACAACTGGACTTGTAATGCCCAGGCTGCTGACATTGATAACAAATAACTCCACCCTTATCAGATCCAACTGGCATAGGAGTAGTAGGAACAGATCATGTAGATTGTTGCCCCTGAAACTGAAATGAACCACCCTTGTTCTTCTTCTAAGAAGATCCTTCTGAGGATGGCCCTGCACCCCTCTTCTGCTTCCACTGTTCTCTTATTGCATCCTTATCTCTGTTATCCGCTTTTAACATTAAAGCCCTTTCCACTGCTTCAGAATATACCTTGATGAACTGTGCTGTTAACAACGGTCTCATTCTGTCATTAAGACCGGTGACAAACTTCCGAGTCTTGTTAGCCTCGTCCTTCACCGTTTCTGGAGCAAAAAGAGAAAGTGAGGTGAACTTATTCTTATACTCAGTCACTGACATGTTCCCCTGAATAAGGTTATGAAACTGATTTTGTAACTCCCATCTTTTCGAAAGTGGAAAATACTTCTCATAGAACAGTTCCTTGAACCTGTCCCAACGCATCTCCTCAATCTTGGTGACCGACTTCCACCAAACCTTGGCATCCTTAGAAAACTTGTAATTTGCCAGAATGATCTTCAAGTAATCCTCCATCACATCCACTGATATCAACTGAGTCTCAACTTGGTCAAGGTAGTCGTCTGCTACCATCGGATCCGCACCGCCTTCGAACATAATCGGCATCAACTGAGAAAACCCCTTAATGATTTTAAGTCGCTTTTGAGCTTGCGTCTCCTTAACTGGAACTGTGGGTTGTGGTACCTGACCGGTCCTTTACAAGGGTTGCGATACCAAGTCAAGCTTGAAGAGTTGTGTGAGAATTTAAGAGGTGGCCAAGTTTTACATTTATAGAAAGCCACTACTACCTTTCTCTATATAAAATATAGATAGGGTGAGTAGGGATCGTCCCAAGGGATTATACGTATTGGAATTTCAACTTCGACTCTAGCGTACCAAATGATTGCAAAAGAGAATTGGGTTGGTTGATTACTTCTAGAAAAGAATTAATTAAAATGCAATTAAAATAAAACTAAGTAGAGATAGGGATTTAAGAGATGAGAAGAGAGGACTTAGGGTGTTGGAATCACCACTAAGCTTGTGTAATTAACCACTTGTTTTCCATTAATGGGGAATACATTGTTGTGAACAAAATTGGTTCGACTAGCAAAAGTGACTCAACAAGTGTATAATGTCTAAACAACATGTGAAAGGCCACAATATATCTATTGGAAGAGGAATATATTGTCTAGACAACATGTGAAGAGAACAAAATATCAAATCAAGTCATTAAACATTTCATTATGCTCATAGTCCAAATAATTCGCAAGGATGACTTAGTTAAACATGTATTGTCTAAACATCATGTGAGAGGCCACAATATATCTATTGGGACAGGAATAAATTGTCTAAACACATGTGAAAGATACAACATATCATAACTAGTCATTAATCCTTCATTAAGCTCAAAATTCCATTACACCACAATATTAGAGCATATGATTCTTGCATTCAAAAGCATGGAACATCAAAGAACAAGCATGAATTGTATCCCCCATCTAACACTACACTACAACTACACTACTAGCATGAAAATAAACTAAGAGAGAGGTATAATCCATCAAAGAATAGGTATGAACCATCAAAAGACATAACAAGAGCATTCCATTAAGCACTAATGTCTAGCCATCACTAGATTCTCAATCAACCACACATAGACATGCAATTAATATAGAAAAACTAGTGTAGAGATCAATTCCCCAAATAATCACACATAAGATAACATGTAATTAAAATAGAGAATCAATGGAAGAATTAACCCATATGAATCATGTGAGACATAATTCCTAATTTAATCACACATAGACATGTAAATAAACTAGAGAATTAATAGGAAGAATTAGACCATGGAAATCATAGAAATATACCAAGATTCATGAAATTCACAAGGCTAGAACACTAATCACAACAATATATATAAAAATCCCCAAAAATAGAAATACAAGGGTTTAGATTACACAAGACTTAGGGCTCATCCAAGCCCTAAGTGTAGATCTAGTCAATCATGGAGGAGGTGGATGTAGTCATGAAATCAAGCTCCAAACATGGCTCCATCTTCTTCTTCCTCTTCTTCTTCTTCTTCTTTGAAGCTCTAGAGATGGAGAGATAGTGGATTTAGAGATGTGTTCTTGAGATGTGCCTCCACTTCTCTCTTTTCTTCTAACCCTAATCTCTAACTTTTCTAGAGAGAGAAATAAAAATTACAATGTAGAAAAAATAATGATAAAAAGCCTCAAGAATCCTCCTTTACAAATGGGTCACTTCCCTTTATATAGAAGGTCCTTTTCTTAGCCACTAAGTCTGGAATATATGCCCAAAAATATCTAATCCCGTACTATATGGTGGGTGACAACTCGCGCGCGCACGGAAAAGTGACAGCTCGCTGCCAGCAAAGTTCGATCGATCCAACTTTTTTCGATCGATCGAACTTATTTTTCGATCGATCCAACTTTTCTGATCGATCCAACTAAAAGTTCGATCGATCCAACTTTTTCTGCGATCCATCCAACTTTTCAGCTTTTCAGTATCAGCTTCTTTTTGTTCCAAATCAGCCTCTTTTTGCTCCGGATCATCGCTAAGACTTAGTTTGACTCCAAAAAGGCCTTAAGAACTCATTTTTAGCCCATTTTAACATTATTGACCTGAAATAGACAAAAACACAAATAAGTACTAAAACGGGTAAATAAGATAGATAAAGGTCCTAGAATACTCAAGCTTAAGGGGTTTAAATGTGTACTTTTCAGTGCCGGTTGCGGATTAGCAACGATTACGGCTCCCAAGGCACCTTGCAACAACTGGTTCAACACCTGTCCCGCTGAACCTTCACCCACTTCTACGGGTGCTTCAACGTTTTCTCTTCTTGTAATACCCCTAATTTTAAAAGGATAGTCTCGGTATTTATTTATTTGTTTTAATTGTATTTTTAATTATTTAATTGATTATTTGACTAATTGCTTATATGTTTAATTGAATTAGATATTACTTAATTATTTGATTATGTGTCTATGTATTATTTGTATTTGTCTATGTGTTAATTATTTAATTAGATTATGTACTTAAATGGTGATTAATTATAAATTAAATGTTTTCTTTTCTTTTATTATTTTATTTTATTTTTCTTTTATAGTTATGGTTAGTAGTAATGGGCCAACCAATTGGGTCCCATGGACTACTTGGATAGAAGGTTGGATGTGTATGGATTATTACCCATGGATAGTTGTGTATGTATATATATAGATATATATTATATGCATATATAAAAAGGAAAGTAATTTATTAATTACTTTTATGGTAACTTGGGTAATAATATTTAGTTTGATGTATATGTTTTATATTTAAGTAATAAAAATATACGTAGATTTAATACGTATTATATTTTAAGCTATTTTATAATATTATGGTAACTTAAGTATTATTGGATAATCCATTAATAAATAATGGAATGTGTATAATTTATTTATTTAATAAACATATACATAAATAATATACGTAACATATTTTACTTACCTTTTTAATATATATAAAAGGGAAAGTAATTTATTAATTATTTTATGGTAACTTGGATAGTAATATTTAATCTGATTTATATGCTTTATATTTAAATAATAAAAATATACATAGATTTGATACGTGTTATATTTTAAGTTACTTTATAATATTATGATAACTCAAGTCAGTGACGGACCCAGAAAATTATGTCAGGGGGGGCGTCCTTTTAATAACAATTTTTTTTTTTTTTTAATAATTAAGCAAATTCATTAAAGGCGTTCAAAAGGGGAACGCGTCCCAAAAACAACAAAAGGATCCCATTGAACACATTTACAATTCAGATCATCATAATAAGCAAAAATATTTTTTTTGTTCATTGAATCATTGAGCACATTCACAATTGTCCCCGACGACTTTTCATATTTTGAAAACGTTGTATGATAACTTCATTATCCATGCCACTAGATATCTCCTTTTCAATATATACTATCAAGCTATCACTCATCCATTCATCTCCCATTTTGTTGCGCAATCGGTTCTTTACGATATTCATAGCAGAAAATGCCCTCTCTACACTAGCAGTTGCAACTGGTAGGATCAACGCTAATGTCACAAGCAAATAAACTAGTGAATGTACCTTGTCTCTTTTGGTTTCCACCATTTTTTTCGCAAGGTCACCAATCCCTTTTAATCCTTCAAACTCGCAATTAGAACGCATATCCGCAATATAATTCTCAAGTTGATCACTAAGTCTCATGAGAGCATGTGAAGAAAATTCTTTGGGATAAAATTGAGCAAGGCGGATTAGTTTTTGCTTTTCAAAAGCACAAAATGAATCATCCGGACACAAACAAGCCACACAAAGCAACAACTCGGAACTCATTTCAGAAAAACGACTAGTTAACTCTTGAAGTTGCATATCTATGATGGAATAAAACAAATCAACACGATAATGATGCAAGTTTGACTTGTCATGAGCTTTACGTCGTAGTCTTCCTCGAGGTAGAAATGTATCATCCATATTAGGAATAGGAATGTCATGTTTCACACAAAAAGAAGAAACTTCGTTGAGTAAAGAATCCCATCCACTTTCCCTCATCCTTTGTAATTGGACCTTACTTAATTTGACCAAGGACATAGTAACCACAATATCTTGATCTTTCCTTTGAAGTGCCTTTGACAAATCATTTGTAATTCCCAAAACAGCTCTCATCAAATGCAAACAAAATATGAAGTTAAAGGATTGTATAAATTCCAATAAAAGATTTACTTCAAACTTTTTTTCTGATGACCCATCCTCTGCAAGTGTCTCAAGTACAGTAACAATAGCTGAAAACATAATAGTCACGCTAATCAAAGTGTCATAATGTGAACCCCAACGTGTATCATTAGCTCGTTTAAGAGAAGTGTTTTGATTTAGGCCTTGCCCACTTGAAAGCTCACCATTGTTAAGTGCCTCGGTAACTATAGAAGCTTGCTTCTCTCGAAGAATATCACAACGTTTACATGAACCACCAACTATATTTATAAGATTAGCAACAAAAGTGAAGAGAGAAACAATATCCTCATGTTTTTTTGCCATACCCACGAGAGCCAATTGGAGTTGATGGGCAAAACAATGAATGTAAAAAGCACATTCATTCTCCTTCAAGATGAGAGTTTTGAGACCATTGAACTGACCTCGCATATTACTAGCCCCATCATAACCTTGCCCTCGTAATCTAGAAATGCTCAACCCATGTCTAGAAAATAAAGCATCAATCGCCTTCTTGAGTGAGATGGAAGTGGTATCAGAAACATGCACTAGACCCACAAAACGTTCAACTACATGCCCATTCTTGTCCACATACCGTAAAACACAAGCCATTTGCTCCTTTGTTGATATGTCCCGAGATTCATCAATTAGAATAGAAAAAAAAGCATCACCAATATCTCCGATAATAACATTGAGAGTCTCCAATGCAATGGCATTAACAATGTCCTTTTGGATCTTAGGTGCCGTTAATTTGTGATTTTCAGGAGCATTTTGCAATGTAACCGCATTAATGTCTTCATTATGATTCGCAAGAAATCGCAATGTCTCGAGAAAATTCCCTTGGTTGCTTGAATCCTCAGTTTCATCGTCACCACGAAATGCA